GTCCTCCAGCACCATCCCTGCAAGACGTTTTGCGTCCAGTACCTCCGCCGGGGCGAGCGCAACGCCAGCGAGCCGCAGGCGCCCCCAGGACGTCCATTTAGTCTTCGACCTGTTTCGGTAGCGGGTCGTTTCTGGCAGTGCTTTCCTGAACTCTTTTTGAACCTCTGCTTTGCCGACGCAATCGCGAAGCAGTCTGGAGGCTGGGCGCACATCTGTGGCAAATTGTTGAGTTCATCCATTGCCAACCTCGGCCCAGCTTTTCGTTCTAAGCCACTGTGTTTTGCTGTTGTGTGACCGCATCAGCCAGTATGGGTCATAGGCGAAGGCATGTGAGCTGCAAGTTTCCAATGTTGGCAACGGTAGTTTACCGTAACTTTTTGTTGGGTGGGAGAAGTCGTGTGCTCTCACATGGCTCACGTATGTTTGAATAAGCTGCTTCAGGGAGAGTAGGCCGTTCGCCTTACACAAAGGGCGTCTCATCAGTTATAGCAACGTGTTGCGGTGCATTCACGTCTTTTCCAACCCTGTGCCAGCCAAGCTTTGATTTTGTCTGGTGTTGCTTGGTCATTATGGAGTGGGATTTGTATTGATGCGTCGGTGGGATGCCTCATGAACCTGCAGCATCGTGATGCTTATCCCGATCGCGTTCGGGCATATGGTCTTTCGCTTTCGAGGGGAAGGGATGGACAAGGGAGAGGGAGGGGAAGGGAGGGGACGGGAGGAGGGGGACATGCAGCTGTCGAAGAACAGGACAAACAGTTTGTCCGCTACCGGGGACACCTGTCCCACAGCGGCTGGAAAGTTTACGCTCCCACGTGCCGCCACAAGGGCATGCATTCTCCAACCGCCCTGGGACAAGCGCCATTCATGACGGACCAGTTTATTCCACACCCTCTTTCGCCCGCCAGGATGCCAGGATGTTAGAGGAGTGTGAGGGGAAAGGGCAGGTCGGGTGCCAGGTGTGGTGTGGCTGTGCAGGCGGTGAAGCCGAAGCAGGGGAGGCAGGGCAAGGGAGGAGAGCGGATGGCCGGGGCAGGCCTCAGTTCGTCCAGCCCAGGTCGACTACATTTGTGGAGGACGATCAATGGAGAGGAAGCATGTTGCCAACTAATTTCCAGATGTCTAAAACATGTGTTAAGCATGATCTAAACATGTAACACATGTTAACAAACATGTGTAGAACATGTTTCTGACATTTTTTAAACACATTTTAAATTCAATGATCGGACTGTCAGGGTGTCCAGTGTCGTGGCATGCACAAGACTACACGTAAGAGTGACCCATTGGGCCCCCCCCCGATCGCCGAATGCGATGCGATAGCAGCGGCCTGCGCGCTTGTGTTTGGTCCCCCCGCGGCCCCCCCAAAGCCGTGCACCAAAGGCCACTCCTGCCCAGGGTCACTCCTTGCGTGCAGCCGACCAGGGGTGCTTCCGGAATCTCTTCCAGGAAGGGGGCCCTCGCCTACGATCTCGAGGAAGGGAGGCGCGATCCCGAGGAGGGGGCCCCGATCCGCGATCTCGAGGGGGGGGGGGGACGCAAGGACACCCCCAAGTGGGGGCAGCGAGCGCGCAGCGGCAGGCGCGAGCCACGCGCGGCGCCTCCTCTCGGCCGTCGGCGCCTCTGCCCGCGCCGCTGCCGCTGCCTCCAAAGGGTCGAGCGCCCGGCAGCCACGACGCTGCCCAGTGGGGGTAGCTTCAAGTCGGGCCTGTCCCCCTACAGGGGGATTCTCGACGAAACATAAGAAATACCCCAACAATCAGCAACAAAAGAGTCCCAACATAGTCTGGGGACTATTTCCTGAGTATTTGTTGACCTTCTGGGTGTATTTTTGGGCTACTTCTTATTTTTCGTCGAAAGTCCCCCTGTAGAGGGGCACGCCCGACATAAGGGTAGCTGCGGGCTCGGGGTGGGCTCCGGTTGCCCGGCTGCTGCCCCAAAGGCCACCCGCGGGAGCGCGCAGAGGATATCGCGCTGAGCGCGCCTCGCGGTCCGGGCCGGAGCGGCTGCCCTCCTCCAAGGGTGACGAACGAGCAACACACACACACACACCCATACCCATAGGGGGGTCGTTGAGAGGAGGACTGGCTATGGGTATGGGTGCGGGTTGTCGGACCCTGAGGAACGCTCCCGCTCGAGCGGGGACCCCCATCCGAAGACACGCACCCATAGCCCTCCCCCCCTATGGGTATGGGTGTGTGCTGTTGGTTCGTCAAGGGGGGCGGCGCGAGGGGCGGGAGGGCGCGAAGGTGAGCGCGCGTCGCGCCTCGCGGGGGGCGCGGTGCGCGACGCTAGGCTCGGGCCGGACGAAAGGGGGGGATTGGGAAAGGGGGGTTACGAAATTGGCTGCATGCAGCTGGTGTCGGCCCCACCGATTGGGCCCATTCCTCGATACATGGGCGCCTCTGGCGCCGGGAGGCGCCGGGAAAATCAGCTGCGTGAGCTGATTCTCAACCCCCCCCTTTGCTTCGGGGGTGGACAGAACCCCCAACAGTGACACGTCGATTAGTGAATTGTCCGTTTTCGGTTCTCGAGAGGGCGCCGCGGCCGTCATTTTCCAGGGTCGCGCTCGCCAGGTTTGGGCCTCAGGTGGTTTTCACTAAACCACGTTTTACTAAAGGGAGGTCTGTCCACCCCCGATTGCTATCCCCCCCCTTTCGCCCGACCCGATAGGCGGACCAGGTTCCTCGGAGCCGGGTCGGGGAAAGCCCATCCGAGGCCGAGGCCCGCCGGGGCCAGGAGGGCCCGCCCCTTCCTCACGGGCGAGCGTCTGGATCCGAAGCCTGCTCCCGAAGAGCTGGGCCAGCATCGAGCAGCCAACCTGCGGGGAGGCGGGCCCAGTCTCTTGACTACGTTCGCCCTCTCGGGAGCGGAAAAGAGGGGGGTGATGACTAGGGGGGGGTGGATTTCATGGCGCGGGCCATGATTTTTCCTCAGATTTCATGGCGCCTCTTCTCATTTCATTACGCCCCTGGCCCCCCCGCTGGGCCGCGCACATGCCGCCGGTCATGATTTGCACCCCCCCCTCTTGGACACCCCCCTCTTTGCCGCCCCCGACCCTCCATCAAGGGCAGAAAAAAACGCCCCTTCCCTGGTTTGCGAGGCGCTGTGCGCTGAAACTCCTGTGGGCTGGCAGGGTAAACCCTGCGTGATGTGCCGCGTCCTGGCGGCTCTAGGCTTTGGGGTTCCCAGGAGGTTTACAGACCGCGCACTTGTAACCCGGGGTAGGGTCGTTTTTTCATCCCTCAAGTCCAGCGTGAACAGAAACAGCTGGTCCAGGTCTGTTGTGAGAAGATTCTCTGGGAAGCTGGCCCGGGTTTCTTCGGGATCCACCGTTTTCCCAGGCGCGCTTCCTGCTGTGGCCAGCGCCCTTTGTGGTCCGCAGGCGGCACATGCACACCACCACCACCAGGCCTGGCCAGGGCCATCCTGGGCCCCAGGGCGGTGCAAAACAGAGAGAGAGAGAGAGAGAGAGAGCCTCGCCCTCGCGAGGGAGTCGGCACGCTCTTCCTCGGTGGAAGGCGGCGGAATGTCGGCGGAAGCCGGTGGAAGTAAATGCAGCCCCCCCCCCCCCCAAGAGGTGCGATGCTTGTCTGGCTCAGCCGGCACATGCCGAAGAATAACATAACGGCATAGACATAAACTTCGTGGCGCTCCGCGCGGGTTTCTCGGATCCTCAGGAGGGGGAAAACACACAGACGCAACTAATCGTCGATTCCCCAGACAGTATGGGAAAATCTGGGAAGTGTGGGGGGGTTGAAGGCAGAAGCCCCGAAAATATGGGAACATATGGGGGATCCTTTTATCTGTGTCTATTTATTTGTGTGTCCCTGGGGCCCCTTCGGATCCGCGCCACTCTCGGCGCCGCCCCCAGCGCGCTCCGCGCGCCAGGCAGGGGGGGGGGGCCATGCCTCCCCCGGGCAGCGCACGTGCCTCGGGTCATGACCTGCGACCCCCGAGGAGGAGGAGGAGGAGGAGGAGGAGGAAGAGGAGGAGGAGGAGGAGGAGGAGGAGGAGGAGGAGGAGGAGGAGGAGGAGGAGGAGGAGGAGAGAGGAGGAGGAGGAGAAGGAGAAGGAGGAGGAGGAGGAGGAGGAGGAGGAGGAGGGAGGAAAAGGAGGAGGAGGAGGAGGAGGGGAGGAGGAGGAGGGAGGAGGAGGAGGAGGAGGAGGAGGGGAGGAGGAGGAGGAGGAGGAGGAGGGAGGAGCGGGAGGAGGAGAGGAGGAGGAGGAGGAAAAAGGAGGAGGAGGAGGAGGGAGGAAAAGGAGGAGGAGGAGGAGGGGGAGGAGGAGGAGGAGGAGGAGGAGGAGGAGGGGAAGAAGGCGTGCCTCCCGCTCCCGCTGCGCCGCCCCCCTGCGGGCGGCCCCCTCCCAGTCGGCGAGCGCGACGCGCTCCAGCCTGCTGGCGTCGCTGGCATCGGCGGGCTCATGCCGCTCAACCTTCCTGGCGGCCTCACTGGCGAGCCGAGGAGGCCCCGCGGTGAGGAGGGGGGCGGACGATCGGGGAGGGCGGTCGTCCAGGGGCCGTCTGGAGGCCTTCTTGAGGCCATGTCAAGCAGCGGCTCTCTTGTTGCCGAGCTTGTTGTGACTGTTCGTGCTGCTTTGATGCCGGTGTTGCCTTTGTCCGTGTCGGGCCTGTCGTTCGCGCCGTTGGCGGTTCGGTTCCGTCTTGCACTTCCGTGCGTGTTGCTTTGGATTGCCGTGTTGCTATCGGTTTTGGACGACCGAGGACCGAACAGCTGAAAACGAAACCAACACGTCCCCAGCAATATGGGGGCCCTCTTGGGCTGCCATTGTGGCGTGCTGGCGGACCTCGTGGGCCGCACTGTGTGCATGTGCCTCCCTATGCGTGTCCTCCGCTTTTCCTGCACCCACCAGCCTCGAACTTATCCCTGTCCCTAAGATTGACACGCCAAAAGGCGATGACAATCTTGGGCGATGACGCACTGAAAAACTGAGGGAATCCCTAAGATTGGCATCGTGATGGGGCGATGCCCAGCTTAGGGATAGGGATATGTTCCAGGCTGGTAATGTACCCGGTGCCCCCTGCGGCTCGCAGGCGTTGGCGAAGATCAGCATGCCTCTCTTGGACTCGTGGAGAAGGGTAAATGAAGCCCAGGAGGGGAAAACACACACACACACACACGGACACGATGGATCGCCGATTCCCAGGAAAGTATGGGAACATGAGGGAAGTGGGGGGGAAGACAAAAACCCAGAAAATAGGGGAAACCATCGGGAATCCTGTTATTTGTGTCTATTTGTCTGTGTGTCCCTGAGGCCCCTTCGGATCCGCGCCACTCGGCGCCGCCCCCGGCGCGCTCCGCGCGCCAGGCAGGGCGGGGGCCCATGCCTCCCCTGGGCAGCGCACGTGCCTCGGGCCATGACCTGCCACCCCCGAGGAGGAGGAGGAGGAGGAGGAGGAGGAGGAGGAGGAGGAGGAGGAGGAGGAGGAGGGAGGAGGAGGAGGAGAGGAGGAGGGAGAGGAGGAGGAGGAGGAGGAGGAGGAGGAGGGAGGGAGGGAGGGAGGGAGGGATGGGAGGGGAGGGGAGGGGAGGGGAGGGGAGGGGAGGGAGGGGAGGGGAGGGGAGGGAGGGGAGGGGAGGGGAGGGGAGGGGAGGGGAGGGATGGGGAGGGGAGCGGAGGGAGGGGGGGAGGGGAGGGGAGGGGAGGAGGGAGGGAGGGACGGGGGGGAGGGGGGAGGGGGAGGGGGGGAGGGGAGGGGGGAGGGGGGGTGGGTGGGGAGGGGGGGAGGGAGGGGGAGGGAGGGGGAGGGAGGGAGGGCGGGCGGGAGGGAGGGAGGGAGGGAGGGAGGGAGGGAGGAAGGGAGGGAGGGAAGGGAGGGAGGGAAGGAAGGAGGGAAGGAGGGAAGGAAGGAAGGAAGGAAGGAAGGAAGGAAGGAGGAGGAGGAGGAGGAGGAGAAGGAGGGAGGAGTTATTTTGTGTCTATTTTGTGTCTATGTATTTGTGTGCCCCTGGGGCCCCTTCAAAAGCGATCACCGTCCTCTCGGGATTGGGCCCAGCAGGCCTGCGCCCTCCCCGAGGGGGAGGAGGCCAGGCCTGGGGTTGCCGTCGCGTGGCCATTGTATGCCGTCTTGATGCCCCCCTCGGGACCTCCAGGGGCCGAAGAAGCCCAAGTCCTATGTTGCCCTAAGGTTCTGGTTTGGTTTTGAAGCCCAGGCGGGGTGGGGGGGCGTCGTCGTGTCGCCAGATGCGGCGCGCGCGCGTTGGTCTGAAGCACGTTTTGTAAGGGGCCCTTACAAGTGAACCATGCGGGCCACGCGCGTTCGCACCCCGCGCGCGCGTGTCAAATTCTATGAAAGCGAGTTGCCCCCCAGCGCCTGTCAGACGATGATTTTGTAAAAGGATCGCCAACCGGTTCTGCCAGAAGGAGGCAGGCGCCAACTTTCCCTGGGAGCAAGCTCGTTCACATCCTACGAAGACACTTGTCAAACGCAACTGTGCGGGCTGCAGGCGCGCGCGTGCCGAACATTTCCAACGACCGCCGCGCACACGCCAACGCTGCCATGACGCATGGCGGGCCACGCGCGCGTGTGTCGCCACCCGCGCGCGCCGAAACCGTTCCAGCACCAGCTGCTTTCGAAGCAGGTCAACACGTGGGTGTGCAACCACCAACGGAACTCCCTGTTCTAAGCAAGGCCAGGGCATGATGTTGGAATATGCCTGCGCGCGCATGTCTACATCACCCTCACCAGCACATTGCTGTCATCACCGCTATCGTCAGTGCCATCGTCATCGCTATCGTCGTCGTCGTCGTCGTCGTCGTCGTCGTCGTCATCACCATCACCATGGTCGTCGTCGTTTCCATCGTCGATCGTGTCGCCTTCGCCATCTCCACCCCGACCACCATCATCGTCGGTGACGTCCGTAGCCATCAAGGTTGAAATCGTTTAACCCCGAGCCATGCTGTGGGCCAGGCGAGCAATGCAACGGTTTGTGCGGACACCGATGGCGCCGATTCGGATCGCGAAGTTTATAGCCGCCGCGTTGTTGGCCCCAACCGTTCTTGGACAGAAGCCCAGCTACTTGCCTGTCTACCAGATGAACCTCTCTACCATCATCATGCCTTGCAACTTCACAGGCCCTACCCACCCATTTACGACGGTCGGTTGGGGTGTCATCGATATTGATAATTCGAACTGGAAAGGCACGGGCGATAGCGACGGTTGGGCGAAGGCCAGCCCCATGGATTGTGAGGAACGAATGGCGAAACAGGTTCAGATGACTAAGCGGGGCTCCCCGCAAACAAAGGTATGGGTGTACAGGAACAGCATCATCGCGCTTCCTTGGTACAGCAGCGTGCGTGTCAAATTAGAGGACCCTGCCTACGCTTACTGGTTTCTGAACTTCACTGACCCAGTTCCAAGTATCAAGCAACGTGGCAACGCCAACACCACGTGCGATTTCAATTTCGACCCGCCAAGGTGTTCGATGGCTTTTCACGAAACCACGCACGCGCCAGGCTACCCAGACGGTGATGGCAAGTGCGCAGCTCCGGGTTGTGACGTGGGCTCAATTCCCATTGGTGCATATTTTTTCAACCCTGCTGCTGCGAATCATTCTGTGCATGGCCAGACGTTCACCGAATGGTTTGTCGATGAGTATGTTTTCGGGCCAGACGGCGGCGGCAACGAGAATATCTCGGGTTTTTTCTTCGACGATCAGTTTTTGCCCAGCGGCGTCACGGAGAGTCAAGCCAACCTCTCGAACCTAGGTTTCACCAAAGAGGAAGGCGAGGAGTATTCAGCTTATTATAGGCAATACATGCAAGTCGTATACGAAGAAGTGCTGAAGCGTGGGAAGTTCAGCTGGCAGCAGATGTGGTGCGCAATATGGCAAAAGAAGGGCCCGAACCACACTTGCAGGTCTACGCCAGACCCTCTGGTGACCAAAGGAAACTGCGCCAACCAGCTGCGCAGCCTGTGCAACGCCAGCAGTCCGCAGCTCACAGGGCGAGCAATGATGTATCAGTTCAGTGGGGGTCAGACTGAGCATCTGCCGGAGTTCGAGCAGGACTTGGCCAACTTCCTCCTCGTCCGCGGTGAGCACGCTTGGCTCGGCCACGGCTGGAAGGGCTGCTCTCGCAACTACATGTTTCCCCAGGCCCTCAACAGGGACTACGGTGAGCCCAAGGAGATCTGCAAGGAGACTGCAGAGCACTCTGGCGTGTTCACGCGCGAGTGGACGAAGGCGTCGATCCAGATGGATTGCAACACGTACACGCCCGCGATTGAGATGAAGGACGAGCTCTCGCAACAAGAGCTCGATGCCTACAATTTCTTGTGAGGGTTTCGCCGCCGCGCCTACGCTTTCGTCTAACTCTACCGAGGGGCCGCCAGCGTGCACCCCGGATGCGACGCCGAACTGGGTAAGGACAGGCTCTCAGAGGCTCGCCGCACTTGGTATGTGGCGTTGCCAGCTTTCCCGGCGATGTTCCGTCCCACGCTGCGGGGGCCACGCTGCGGGGGCGGGGCCGAGCTGGAGGCTCGCCGCGCTTTGCTGCGAGGTGGAGGCCTAGATCCAGAGCCCGAGGCCCTCGCCCGCGCAGTAGAATAGACGAAGAAGAGCCGTGGTCCCCTGCCGCGAACCAGCAACAAGCACCGACCTCACATAAAGACATCCTACCCTCCCCCCCTACGAAAAGCCTCCTCTACTCATCCTCCTCCTCCTCCTCCTCCTCCCTCCTCCTCTTCCTCCTCCTCACTCCCTCCTCCTCCTCCCCCTCCCCCTCCCCCTCCCCCGTCTCCTCCTCCCCTCCTCCTCCTCCTCCTCCTCTCCTCCTCCTCCCTCCTCCTCCTCCCCTCCCCTCCTCCTCCTCCTCCTCCTCCTCCTCCTCCTCCTCCTCCTCCTCCTCCTAGGCCACCTCTGGCGAGGAGGTCCACGATGCCTCCTCGAGCTGGAGGCTGGGGATGTCTCGAGCGAGAGGGGGGGGCCACACCACCAGGAAGGCCCCCCTTGCCTCCTCGCATCTCCTCGCCCTGGTGGTGTTGTTGGCGCCTTTCCTTGTTCCTATCGCTGGGGCTAGATCAGGATCACAATCGAAATCGGAAACTGGAGCATCCGCGAGCTCGATCGCCATCGCTCGCGCGGGGGGCGCAGGCCGTTCTGGGGCCCTTGGGCCACCACGAAGCGTGGCAACCCACCTTCTTCTCGCGCGGGAGATAAGGAGCAGAGGGCTGAGAAAGAAGGAGGAGGAGCAGGAGGAGGAGGAGGACGAGGAGGACGAGGAGGACGAGGACGAGGAGAACGAGGACGAGGAGGACGAGGAGGAGGACGGGGAGGAGAAGGAGCGAGCAAGGACGAGGCGGAGGAGGAGGAGCGAGCGAGGAGGAGCGAACGATGAGCGAGCGAGGAGCGAAGCCAGGAGCGACGAGGAGATGAGCGAGGAGGCGTGAGCAGGCGCGATGAGCGAGGAGGGAGCTGGGAGCGAGGAGGAGCGAAGCGCCCCAACGCGCAGCTACGCCCAGGCGTGGCGCCCGCGAACGCGCACCTGCTGCACCGGGCCGCGCCGACGCCAGGGAGGGTGGCCAGGCCCGGGGGCGCAGTGGCGGCGGCCTGCGACTCGCTGCGGAGGCGCCGCGTGCCCCCGCTCGCGCGACGGGGGGCGGCAGGCGACTAGTCGACCAACGGCGACGGCAGACGGCAGGCGAGGGCGACGGCGACCGGCGACGGCGCCGGGCGACGGCGACGACGACGACGACGGCGGGCGACGCGCGACAGACGACAGGCTAGTTACGGCGACGGCGACGGCAAGCGCGACGGACGACAGACGATGACGGCGACGGGCGACGGGCGACGGCGACGGGCAACGGCGACGGCGACGATGGCGGCACCGGCGATGACGGCGACGACGACGACCGACGACCACGAAACGACGACGACGAATGGCAGGCGACAGATGACAGGCGACACATAACAACGACGAGGACAGACGGCGGCGACGGCGACTGGCGACGGCGACAAACAGGACGGCGACGACGACGACGACCGACGACGACGACGATGACAGACGACAGACGACAGACGTCGGCTACGGCGACCGCGACGGCGACGACGACACACGGCGGGCGACGGTGACGACGATGGACGGCGACGACGGTCGCCGGCGGCAACGGCAACGGCGACGACCACGTTGACCGATGCAAGACGACAACCGACGACGACGACAAACGACGACGATGACGACGACAGACGACGACGACAGACGATGGCGACGGCGACGGCAACGACGACGGACGACGACTGCGTCCGACGACAGTCGACGACGACGGGCGACGGCGACGGCGACGACGACGACGACGACGGCGGCAGCGGCGACGACGAGGACAACGGCGACGGGGACGACGATGACGACGACGGCGGCGGTTGACATTCGACATGTCACGACGACAGACGACGGACGACAGACTGAAAACGACAACGCCAACGACGACGGGCGACGACTACGGGCGACCGCCGCGGCGACGATGGCAACAGATGACGACGACAGACGGGGACGACGGCGACGGCCACGACGGTTGACACGCGACATACGACAGACGACATAGGACAGACGACAAACGCCGACGACAAAGACGATGGGCGACGGCGACGGGCCACGGCGACGACGACGGACGACGACGGCGACGGATGACAGACGACAAACGACGACGACGTCGACAGATGACAGACGACGGTGACGGCGACTGGCGACGGTGACGGCGTTGATGACAACGGCAGACGACGACAGGAGACAGACGACGGCGACGGCGGCAGACGACGACAACGACGACGACGACGACAGACGACGACGAGGCGCGACGGCGGCGGCGACGACGACGGTAGACGACCAACGACAGGCTACAGACGACAGATGACGACGACAGACGACGACGACGACGACGGACGACAGACGACGGCGACGTTGACTGCTGACAGCGACGGCGACGACGACGACAGACGATGTCGACGGGCGACGGCGGCAGCGGCGACGACGAATACGACGACGGCGATTGACGACGACGGCGACGACGATGCCAGCGACGACGATGACGGGCGACAGGCGACAGCCGACGGACGACAGGCGACAAATGACGAGCACGATGGCAGACGACTGGGACGCCGACTGTCGACGGCGACGACGACGACAGACGACTGCAATAGACGCCAGGTCACGGCGACAACGACGACGACAGACGACGGCGACGACGACGACGACGGACGACGACGGGCGACGGGGGCAGCGGCGACGACGACGACCACGACTATGGCGACGACGACGGTAGACGACGGACGACAGGCGACAGCCGACAGCCGACAGACGACAGACGATAGACGACAAGCGATGGCGAAGACGATGGCGGCAGAATGCATACGACTGGTGGTGGCGACGACGATCAGGGCGACGACGCCGACAGACGACAGAAGACGGCGACGGCGTCAGCGACGACGGCGACGACACACGACGATGACGGCGACGAAGGCGACATACGAAGACGACGATGGTTTCGACGACAACGACGGATGTTAGGTTGCAGACGGCGGACGACAGACGACAGACGAAAGACGGTAAACGACAAACGACGGCGGTGGACGACAGGCGGCATAGGACAGACGACAGCGAAGACGACTAGCTACTGCGACTGCGATGACGACGACACACGGCGACGGCGACGACAGACAGGCGACGACGACGGGCGACGGCGGCAGCGACGACGACGACGACGACTGCGACCGACGAAAACAACGACGACTGATGTTAGGCGACCGGCGACAGACGACAGACGACAGTTGACAAGAGACGACGACGCACGACGATGGCCGACGTCGACGGCGGCCGGGACGGGCAACGGCGATGGCGACCACGACAATGACAGAAGACGACTGCAACAGAGGACGACGACAGGCGACGGTGGCAATGGCAGCGGCTATGACGACGACGATGGCGACGACGACGACGACGACCGACGACGACGACGGTGGATGGTCTGCGACAAACTCAGACGGCAGACGAGAGACGACAAATGACGACGACAGACGATGACGACGGCAACGACGGCGACGGCGACGGCGATGGGCGGCCACGGCGACGCCGAAGGACCACGGCGACAGACGACAGACAACGGCAACGGCGACGGCGACGACGACGGCGACGACGACTTTGACGACGACGACGACGACGACGACGACGACGACGACGACTACGGCGGCAGCCGCGGCGACGATCATGATGACGACGACCGACGACGGCCTCGGCGACGGTGGATGACAGGCGACGGACGACAGACGACGACGAGGGGCGACGTCGACAAACGACCATGACGACGACGACGACGACGGGCGACGACGACGGGCGGTAACGACGACGACCACAGACCTCAGTGACGGCGACAAACGACTACGACGACGACGGCGACGGGCGACGACGCCGGGAGACAGCGACAAGGACGACAGACGACTGCAGGCGATGACGACGACGATGACGGCTACCGACGACGAAGACGACGACGTTGGACGGCAGGTGACAGCCGACAGACGACAGACGACGGGCGACAGACGATAAACGATGACGACGGCGACGGTCGACGACGACGGAAGAGGGTGCCGACGACAGACCACAGACGACAGACGACAGACGACCGCGACGGCGACGGCGATGGCGAGAACAACGCGACGACGACAACGACGAATGCGATCGACGATTGCGACGATAGACGACAGGCGACAGACGACAGACGACAGACGACACACGGCGTTGACGGGTGACGACGACGACGAGGGTGACGACGACGTCGACGGGCGACGACGGCGACGACGGGCGACGACGACACAGACCGACGACGATGGTGACCGCGACGGCGATGGCGTTGACGGCGAAGTTGATGACGACGACAGAGGGCGACGACGACGACGACGAGGACGACGACGACGACGGTGACGACGATGGGCGACGGGCGACATCCAACAGACGACAGACGACAAACGGCAGACGATGACGACAGGCGACGACGACGACAGACGACGACGGGAGACGAAAACGGCAGACGACAGGCGACGACAGACGACGGCGACGACAGACGACACCAGACGACAGACGATGGCGACGGCGACGGCGACGACGACAAATGACGACGGGAACGACGACGACGACGACGACGGTAGCGACGACGACAGACGACGACCACGGCGACCGAGGACGACGGCGACGACGACGGATGGCAGACGACAGACGGAAGACAACAGGTGACAGACGACAAACGACGACGACGTCCACGTGCGACGACGAATACGACGCTAACAGGCAACTGCGACAAGGACGACAGACGGCAGACGACAGACCACTGCGATGGCGACGACGACATACGACATCGACAGACGACGACGCCGACGGCGACAGCGGCGACGACGACGACACGACGACCACGGCGACGACCACAGACGACGACGACGGTTGACAGACGACAGACGCCAGACGACAGCGGACAGACGACAAACGACGACGACCACGGGCATCGACTACGACGATAGCAGGCAACGACGACGAGGACGACAGACGACAGACGACTGCGACGGGGTTGGCGACGGCGACCGCGACGACGCCGACGACTGACGGCGACGACGCTGGCGGCGGCAGCGGCGGCGACAGCGACGACGACGACGAGGGCGACGGACGACGACTGCTACGACGACAGGCAACAGACAGCAGACGACAGGCGACTCTCGACACACGTTGACGACGTTGTCGAGCGGCGACGACGGTGATGCGCGACAACGGCGACGACAGGCGATAGCATACGACAGATGGCATGCGACCGAGACGGGGAAGGCGACGGCGGTGGCGACTAAGGTGGCGACGACAACGACCACGACGACGACAGGCGACGACGAGGACGAGGACGAGGACGACGGCGACCGACGAAGACGAGGACGACAATGGGCAACAAGCGATAGACGACAGACCACGGACGACACACGACACACGGCAAATGACGACAGCGACAACGGGCGACGACGATGGGCGACGACGACGACGAGGACAGACGATGACGACCACAGGCGGCAGACGACGGCGACGGCGACGGCGACGACGATAGCAGCGACGACAGGCGACGACGACGACGGTGGCAGCGGCGCTGACGACAACGACAGGCGGCAGACGACAGACGACAGACTGCAACCGACGACGACGACGACGACGACGACGGGCGATGACAACGACAGACGACGACCTTCGACAGACGACGGCGATGGACGACGACGACAGGCGGCAGACGATGACGACGATGGCAGCAGCGACGACGACGACGACGACCACGGCGACGGCTACCGACAACGGCGGCGACGACGACATATTACAAGTTTCAGGCGACACACGACAGACGACAGACGACAGACGACAGGCGACAACGATGACGACGGCGACGACGAAGACGTCGACGACAGCGGCGGCGACGACGACGACGACGCCACCGATGGGCGGCGACGACGGCGACGACGGCGACATACGACGACAGACCACATTCGACGACGACGACGACGACGGCGTCAGCAGCGTCGACGACGATGACTGACTTCGACGACCACAGACGGAAGGCGACAGACGACAAACGACAGGCGACAGACAATGACGATGACGATAGACGACGGCGACGACGATGACACATGACCGACGACGGCGACGGCCACGGCAACGGCGACAGACGACGGCGACGGCGACGGCGACGGCGACGGCGACGGCGACGGCAACGGCGACGACAGGCGACGACGACGGCGGCAGCGGCGCTGGCGACGACGACGAGGACGACGACGACGACGACGGCGACGACCGCGACGACGTCGGCAGACGACGACAATGACGACGACGACGAGAGCGACGACGACGACGGCGGCCGCGGCGTTGACGACGACGACGACAACGTCGATGGCGACCGACGGTGGCGACGGCGGCAGACGGTTGGCGACAGGCGGCAGACGTCACTCGCGCCGCATCGCCGATGCATCCGCGATTTGGCTTCATGCGGAGCCCGACCTTCTCCGCGCCGACGGTGCCGATGCATCGCCGACGTTGGCTATGCATCGGGGATGCGGCGCGATCCTCCAACCCCTTCTACTCGGACCCCATATAGGAGGTCCCTGGATCCCCACAGTCCCATCACCCCAGTTGGGGACATGCACCTCGAAGCCCGACGGAAGCAGCCTGCATCCCCATCCAGGGCACAGCGGCGAGCGGGGCCCAGGCCACGCCAGGGGAGATAGGGATTGGTTAAACGATGCTCGCCTGTGAGCGTGCTTGGGTGATCTCGTTGCCGCGGCCAGGCGCAGCGCGCACGACCGGCCAGGGCGGGCCCCCGTCGCTGGGAAGAAGCCGTGCGCCCGCCGAGCTCCGCGGCGGCTCCCTCCTCTCTGGAGCTCTAAGCTTTGAGAGCAGAGCCCTTCGATGTTGCATCACGGAAGCCTCTGCTCGTCTTGAACCGAAGTCCTACCGGCGAGTGGCGCTGAAAGGCGCCAAACAGCGCCAAATAGCGTCGACTGGCGCTCAACAGCGCCCAACGCGCGCCCCACAATGGCGCCCAAGAGCGCCCGACGGCGCCCAGTGGCGCCATTTTGGGGAGGTGCATCACTTCCGCTTTGCGTGCCTTTGGACGCGCCATGGGGCGCAATCGGGGCGACACAAATCTTGCGTGAGTTGATTTCTACAGTCGGGGCCCTGAAGAAGGAACCCTGTTCGTTGGGGAGGGGCTCCGTGTTCCTTAATTGTCTCACAGTTTGCCTCAGGTTTTCCTTGTGTCCTCGATGGGCTATCGAGGTGTAACTTGTGGAGAAAAGGGGCCTCGTTCCTTATTTAGGGCTCCTTAGGTCAACGCCCCGACTGTACGGGTCCAGGGGTCGATGATGGGGTTTCGAGGATGGGGTCTCCCCAGGCTGTGCCCCTCTCCTGGAGCCTTCGGGGGGGCCCTCGCCGCCACGCCCCTGCTCCCCTCGAAGCCCTGGCCGAAACGAGAGGAACCCCGAGGCTCGGGGCCCGGGGATCGAGGCTCGAGCTTCGAGGCTCGAGGATCGAGGCTCGATTTTCGAGGATTGCGTTTTTGGCTTTTGGCTCTCGAGGATTTTCGAGGATTTTCGAGGATTTTCGAGGATTTTCGAGGATTTTCGAGGCTTCTGGCTCTCAGTGAGCCTCCAGGGGCCCCTCGGACTGGTCGCCACGGCTCGCGCCGGCGCCGCCAGCGTCCCAAGACCCGCAGGTGGCCCCAAGAGCGCCCCAAGAGGCTCCCAGGAGGATCCGAGAGCTGCCCACGGTCGCCACGATTCGAAGAAGTGAAGAAGAGCCATGAACATAAACTTTTGGCGCTCCGCGCAGATTTCTTGGATCCGCGCTGGGCCCCCCTGGAGGCGCCTCCGCGCCGTCTCTGGCGCTCTCCGCGCGCCAATGAGGGGGTCCAGCGCAGATCCACGAAATCCGCACGGAGCGCCAACAGTTTATGTTTATGCAGTTTTTTTGTTTTTTGCCGAGAATCTTCCAGGGCAGCCCAAGATGATGGCCCATGAGGGTCCCCAGGAGGGCTCAGGAGTGCCAGACATAATCAATCAACAGGTGATGTTCGTCTTGCTCGGGCTCTGGCTGCTGAAGTCGTCTTGGGGTCAGCCCGGAGATAAGGGATAGATTCCCTTGGGCTTTACGAGGTGCTCCAAGAGTGCCCCTCGTCCCAAGTGGCCCCCAAGAGGTCCCAAAAGTGAAGCAGGACCCCGACGACGCCCCAGAGCCCATGAGGAGGCTCCCGCGGCCCCGCCGCAGCTCGAGAGGCCTCCCGAGGGCCCCGAGAGGTCTGCACGAGCGAGGAGGGACGAGGGAGGAGTTAGCGACCTCGGGGCAGCTCGCGATCAGGGCGCTCCCCAATCTCGGGAGGCGTCGAAGCATGCCCCCTGCAGTGGCGCGCCGCCGCCCAGTGCTGTGCTCAAGCGCGTGGAGCCCGCTCTCGATGTTAGCTCCGCTGTTTTCCATCGCCCCACAACTGCGGAGAAGGGCGAGGGGGCGGCGGGGTCCTCGGCGGCAGCCTGCGGGGCTGCGACGAAGGCCCGCCGCACGCGCTGCGGTCTTGGCAGCGCACGCCGAGCCCGTCGCAGGCGTCGAGCTTTTGTCCAGGCGGTGCGGGCGGGTCGGGTCGCGGGCGGGTCGCGGGCGGGTCCCGGGCGAGGGCGACGACAAGGAGCAGCAAACGGCAACCAGCAAAAGTTCGTCCTCACCGCGGGAGCACCCGGGGATGGTGCGTATAAGACGGCTCGGCCCCCTCTCTTTGGTCCTGGGGGCTGTGCTTCTCTCCGCCGCAGGGCCTCGAGCAGGCAGGGGCGAGCACACATGGTTCAGTTCTCACTCTTCGAAAGTTCTCTGATTTTTTTTGGGGGGCCAAGCTCTTTTTATTTCTGATGTTGTTCTATCCTGGGCCTCTTCCTGGCCACTAGGGGGCCGGGAACAGCTAGGAACGAGCACAAGCTAGAAATTCAGGAGGGGAAGAAACACACAGACACAATTAATCGTCGATCCCCAGGAAAATATGGAAAACATGGGAAGTGGGGCGGAAGACGAAAACCCGGAACATATGGGAAAATATGGGGCATCTTTTTATTTGTGTGCGTGTGTGTGTGTGTGTGTGTGTTTATTTGTGTGTTTGTGGGCCCCTTCAGAAATGAGCAGGAGTAGAAACGAGCGGCGCGTGCAGCCCCCTGTTCGCACTGCAGCTGGGTCTTCTGGTTGTCCTATTCCGGGCCTCTTCCTGTCCACCAGGGGGCCGGGGGATCAGTTGGGAGCGAGCACGAACTGGAACTGAGCACGAGTAGCAATGAACGACGCGTGCAGCTCCCTGTTCGCACTGCAGCTGGGTCTCGAGCCCGCGGCCCGCAGTCGCTGTGGCTGGGCGGGGAGAGGGCTCCCTGCGGCGGGGGCGTGGCCCGGCGTGCTGCGGGCGACGGCGCCCCGGGGGGGAAGCCGTCCCACGGGTTGGCCGCGAGGTTGGCGGGTGGCTGGCGGCGAGGACCATCCAGGACCATCTTGGACCATCGAGCAAACAAAAAACACGCACGACACCGAAAAATGCACGGGAAATGGGCGTCCGAGCGATGGCGAGTGCTTTGGTTTCCCTTCAGACTTGATATAGTATGGAAACCTGCCTCCGGGACCAGTCGAGAGCTCTAGGACCCAAGTGTTGAACAAACAAGAGAAACATCGGAGGGTTGGGAACGACCGTGTATCCTGGCATCGCTCGGACGTGTGCATTTTTGCTCGGCGAGGGCCACCGAGGAGCATCCCTGATCATGCGGCGAAAAAAAAACACGCACGAGACCGAAGAAAAGCACAGGGAGTGGACGTCCGAGCGATGGCCAGCTGGGGGCGGGAGAACGCCACGCGGGAGCGCAGGAATGGTGCTCGGTCCGAGCGGGACCCCTTGGAGGTCTCTCGTTCGTGGGCACGTTCAGTAGCAAATCATGGGAGCTCTGTGTACCCTCATGCGTCGATGAGCGTCTGGGAGTCGATGAGGTAGCGCCGGTTTCGCGTCGGATAGCGTCGAGCAGCGTCGATTCGGCGTTGAGTAGCGCCGATCTAGTGTTGACTGGCGTCGATGCGCAAGAGCGGGCAGGATGGTATGGGAGACTCCCACGAGTTGCCACCGAAGGCATATGTGCACGTTCACTGCTCGCGGGGCCGCGGGGGGGTGCGGTTGTTACTCCAGATTTCGTAATAAAAGGGAGGGGGTCTGGACCCTCCAAGACAAGCCATTTCAGACCTCCCCCGTGGGAGAACCCTCCAAAACATCGTCCCCAGACGCCCCAGGCCCTCCAAGATAGCCTGGAAGAGACCCCCCCCGAAATGAGACCCCCCTCCCTTTATTACGAAATCTGGAGTAGGCTCCCTGGCCTGCGTCATTCCTGAGGTTCTCCTTGCCGTCGTCCTGCCTCCCCGGACCCCCCGCCGGGCAGGAGGCACTCCGTGAGCGGGCCCTTCCAAGACGAGCCGCGGACGCGCCCTGCGCGTCGCTTGCGGGCAGATCTTCGCTTCTTTCCCCCCCGTCGATCCGTCTCGCGGCGTCGGCTCTCTCTGCCCCTTGCTCAGGGGGGCGGGAGGTGGCTGCCCTTCTAGGCCTCCCAGATGGGGTCCGAGCAGATGGGGTCGGAGGATCGCGCCGTATCCTCAATGCATCGGCGATGCGGCTCGATGTGCAGCCCGATTTTCTGCACGCTGGCGTCGCTGATGCATCGCCGATGTCGCCGATGCATCGCCGATGCTTCGATGATGTATCGCCGATGTATTGGCGATGCGGCGCGATCCTCCGACCCCATCTGCTCGGACCCCATCTAGGAGGCCTCTAGCCCTGGCCCCGGGGAGATGGCGATGGAGGGGGGGGGGTTGGTGCAACAGGAGTTGGGGGTTTGCTCCTGCTCCCGCCCCCCCCCCTTCCCTGGGAAGTGGTCTCTCCCGTCCCAGTCCCTGTCGTTGCTCCCGTCGTCGTCGTCGCCGCGGCCTTCCACTGGTTCCCCTCCGTCCTGTGTTGTTGGATCCTCGCTTTGAGTACGGTCAACCCGCATGATAAGGATGCGCGATAAGGATGGAAGGGCCTTGGAAGGCCATGTCTACAATTTGCGAGCCCAGCGCGGCCAGCGAGAGCGGCCAAGGATGGGCCGAAGGAGAAGGATGCAGCGGCAACCTTGGAAGGTCGCTCTTCCTTACTGCGCGGGTTGACCGTACGCCTCTCCGCGCATCTCCTCTCGTCCTCCCCCGCCTTTCGGCGGCGAGCCCAGGGAGGAAGCGAGAAGGGGCGGGCCTTCTCAGAGGGCTCGGAAGTCCCGCGGCCCTCTGAGAAGTTGTCTGGGCCTTCCACGACGGCACCGAAAACTTCCCAGAAGGCGCGAGGGCTTCTGAGAAGTCCCGCCACCTGGGCACCTCTGGCCCCCCTCCTCTGCCGCCTCCTCCTCCCTCCTCCTCTCCCCCTCCTCCTCCTCCTCCTCCTCCTCCTCCTCCTCCTCCTCCTCTCCTCCTCCTCCTCCTCCTCCTCCTCCTCCTCTCCTCCTCCTCCTCCTCCTCCTCCCTCCATCCTCCCTCCTCCTCCTCCTCCTTCCTCCTCCTCCTCCTCCTCCTCCTCCTCCTCCTCCTCCTCCCTCCTCCTCCTCCTCCTCCTCCTCCTCCTCCTCCTCCTCCTCCTCTCCTCCTCCTCCGCCTCCCCCCCTCCTCCTCCTCCCTCCTCCTCCTCCTCCTGCCTCCCTCGCCTCGGGCCCTCTCTCCGCCTCTGGCCTCCGCGCGTGCCGCCGCTCCTGCGGCGGATCCCTGGCGCACGCTTCTCGTGGCCCCAGCAGCTCCACGGAAGGCCCGAGTGGCATGGAGCGCCCGCCATCGAGAACGATAGAGCCCCTGGCTCATGATGCTCCAACCTGCTTCAGCCTTGATCGCCAGGAAGCATTTCGAGCGGGCCAAACAAGTACCGAAACTCGAGGGTTTTCAGGTGTCGGGCCTGGGAGAGACTCGCCCGGCACTGTTTCGACACTCTTTTGACACTCGTTTGACACTTTTCTGGGTGCTCGATTTTTTCTCTTGGATGTGGTCCTTAAATAGGATGGGAATAACATAACCCTTGACCCGAATCGCACAATGACGACGTGGCCTCACTCAGGTTCCCGCTTGTGCATCAGGGGTCATCCTTCCGGGTGTTTTGGCTCGATGCGCCTGCAAAAAACAGACCCCTGTATCCCTACAGTTCGGGAGCTCCTGAATCATGTCCGCTCCCACATGGGACCCTCTCATTGATATTCAGCATGCTTGGCCACGCCCTTTTCTGGCGCACCTCTCACGCGTTTTGTGGCCCCATAGGAACTGCGGATTAGGCCCACACGACAGGGTTCGCATGCACCACTCACGCAATTCGTGACCCCAGAGGAGCCCCGCGGAAGGCCAAAACTGGCAGGGATCGTATACCACACCCATTCGGTTTCGCGGCCCCCTGTGGGAGTTGCACAGAATATGCAGATGGCAGGGCTGATATTCCTGACCACGCCCGTTCTGGCGCACGCACATGCAGACACAGACACACACACACACACGCACACAGACACACACACACAAGCACACACAGACACACGCACACACGCACACACGCACACACGCACACACGCACACACGAACGCACGCACGCACGCGCGCACGCACACACCCACCCACCCACCCACGCACACACACACATACACCCACGCACGCACGCACGCACGCACCCACCCACCCACCCACACCCACACACATACACTCACACACAGACACACACACACACGCACACACCCACCCACAAACGCCCCCCCACGCACCCACCTACTGACACACACCCACACACCCACACACCCACACACCCACACACACACTCACACACCCGCATACACACCCACACCCTCATACACACACCCACACTCACACCCACATCCAAACACACACACACACCCACACACGCACACCCACACACCCACACACACCCACACACACCCACTCACGCCCACACGCACCCACACTCGCACACACACTCACACACGCACACGCGCATGCCAGACACACGCACACGCGCACGCGCACTCGCACGCGCATGCGCGCACGCGCACACACACACACGCACACACACGCACATGCGCCCATGCGCACGCACGCACGCGCGCACACACGCACACACGCGCACACGCAGAAAGGCACGCACGCACACGCGCACACACGCACACACGCACACGCACACACGCACACACGCACACAATCACACGCGCACACACGCACACGCGCACGCCAGGCACACACGCGCACACACGCGCACACGCACACACGCACACAAGCACACGAGCACACACGCACAGGCAAACACGCACACACGCACACACGCACCCACACACACACACACCCACACGCACACACGCGCCCGCACGCACACACACACACACGCACACACGCACGCCCACACCCACCCACACCCACACCCACTCACACCCACCCACACCCACCCACCACCCGACCCATCCCCCCCCCACCCTAACCCTACACACACACACGCACACAAAGACACACACACACACACTCACACTCACAATCAAACTCACACAGACAAACAGACACACCGACACACAGACATACAGACACACGCACAGACACGCAGACACACAGGCACACAGACACACAGACACACAGACACACAGACACACCGACACACATGCACACAGACACACAGACACAGACACACAGGCACACAGACACACAGGCACACAGACACAAAGACACACAGGCACACAGGCACACAGGCACACCGACACACAGACACACAGACACACAGACACACAGACACACAGCCACACAGGCACACAGACATATAGGCACACAGACACACAGGCACACAGACACATACACACAGACCCACATATACACAGACACACAGACACACAGACGCACAGGCACACAGACACACAGACACACAGACACACAGACACACAGACAGATAGCCACACAGACACACACAGACACACAGACACACGCACAGACACGCAGGCACGCATGCACACAGGCACACAGACACACAGACACACAGACACACAGACACACAGACACCCAGACACACAGACACACAGACACACAGGCACACAGACACACAGACACACATACACACAGACACACAGACACACAGACACAGAGACAAACAGACACACAAACACACCGACACACAGCCACACAGGCACACAGACATATAGACACACACAGACACACAGGCACACAGGCACAGACACAAGACACACAGACACTCAGACACACAGACACACAGGCGCACAGACACACAGACACACAGACACACAGACACACAGACACACAGACACACAGACACAGACACAAAGACACACAGACACACAGACACACAGGCACACAGGCACACAGACACACAGACACACAGACACACCGACACACAGACACACAGACACACAGACACACACACAGACACACAGACACACAGACACACAGGCACACAGACACACAGGCACACAGACACACGGACACACAGACACACAGACACGCAGACATATAGCCACACAGACACACAGACACACAGACACACACACAGACACACAGGCACACAGGCACACAGGCACACAGACACACAGACACACAGACACACAGACACACATACACCCAGACACACAGACGCGCAGACGCACAGACGCGCAGACGCGCAGACGCGCAGACGCGCAGACGCGCAGACGCGCAGACGCGCAGTCGCGTAGACGCGCAGATGCGTAGACGCCCAGACACGCAGACGCGCGGGCGCTTACGCGCACGCGCACGCGCACGCGCACCACACACAGACACACACACACACATGCACACGCACACACACAACACGCAACATACCAACACACCAACACACCAACACACACACACACATACACAACACACACAACACACAACTACACACAACTCGCTTCGTGGCACCATAGGAGCTCCACCCAAGACCCACATGGCAGGGCTCGTATGCTGGGCCACGCCCATACTGTGGCCCCAGAGGGGCCCCACAGACGGCCTAAGTTTCAAACATCGTATGCCTGGTCACGCCCGTTCTTGCACACCCCTCACGCGCTTCGTGGCCCCAGGTGAGCTCCGCAGAAGGCCCCATTGGTAGGATTCAATAGGGTTCGTATGCTGGGGTGCGCCCATTCTGGCGCATCCCTCACGCGTTTTGTTGCCCAATTGAAGCTCAACCGAATGCCCCACTGGCAGGGCTCGTATGTCTGACCACACCCAGTCTGGCAGACCTGTCACACGTTTCGTGGCCCCCATGGGTGCTGCACAGAAGGCCCGAATTGCAGGCATCGTATGCCTGACCACGCCCATTTTGGCACACACAAGCACACACACCTCATACTTTCCATTGGCCCAGAGGAGACCCACATAAGAGACAAACAGCAGTGCTCGTATGTCTGACCACGCCCATTCTGGCGCAATCTTCCCGCATTTCGTGGCCCCGTGACAGCTCCACGGAAGGCATGCACGGCAGGGCTTATGTGCCTGACCACGCCCATCCTGGCAGACCCTTCGCGCGCTCCGTAGCACCACAGGAAACAAGCAGGGCTCGTACTCCTGATCACGCCCCCTTCTGGCAGATCCTTCACGCGCTCTGCGGCCTCATGGGAGCTCCACACACGTGCCCCAGGGGAAGCGCTCGGATGCTTGACCGCGCCCATGCTGCCCCCCCCCCCCCCCCTTGCACGCTTCGTGGGCCCACGGAAGCTCCACAGGAGGCCCGACTGGCAGGGCACCGTTCGCCCGACCACGCCCGTGCTGGCGCACCCCTCGCACGTCTTGCGTGGCTCCATGAAGAGGGGGCCCCAGTGGGAGCGTTCGCATGCAGACTCGGGCGCCGTTTCGGCACCCCGCTCGTAAGTCTTGTAAACAGGGGCCTGCAGGTTTTGTTTCCGCGGAAGCGTGGCGCGTGCGGCCATGTGCGGGCATGGCGGGGTTGCGTCCATGTTGTTGCGCGCTGCTTTTCAGGAGAAACCATCTCGTATGCCACTCGTAGTTTGGTCGCTTCTCCCCTTCGTTTCACCTGCCTTGCGGTACTCGCAGCTGCATGTGGTTGGGTCCTTCGTCCGGCTGTTTGTCTCTCTGCCTCTGCCATGTCCCATATCCATTCTGAGCGTGGCTCCCCCTCTCGTCAGTCCTTGTTGCATGGGAGATTCCTTGTGTTTTCATGTCGTCCCAGTCCCTGGCACGCGCGATAGTGATGCCCCAACGCGCCTCCTAACACTGTTTTCAAGTTGTGATCCGCTTCCGAATTCCAAGCTGCGTCAAGGCCCCGCTGGTTTGCTCGGCCCCAGCGCCGATGACGATTTGTCTGGGGCGACCAGGCAGGGTTCCCAGGTGGCGCTGCCCCTGTCTGCCTGGTGCTCGTGTTGTACTTGGGCTTCCTGCACTTCCACTTCGGCACCGCCTGATCCCAGGGCTTTGCCCTCTCTCGGCCTTGACGTGAGGCGCCGCCTTCTTTTGCCCCCCCCTCTGTTAATGAAAGCTGTGCGCGGCCCGCTTAGCTTCTATCGGAAGAGGCTCGCTCTAGACCCGCAGATCAAACAAATGTTGTACTTGGGCCACTCTGGTTTGGCTTCCCCAGCATGCGGAACAACAGACTCTGCACCCGCTCCTGTCCCCGCGCTGCGTGTTGGCCGCGCCCGCGCTGGCTCTTTCCGAGCGGCCGCGCCAGGATAGACGTCGTCGCGGTGTTCGCCCCGAGGCGCGGCCAGCTCCCGCCCTGCCGCGCGCCCCGCTCGCCCCCCAGGCCTCCTCCTCGTCCTCCTCCTGCTCCTCCTCCTCCTCCTCCTCCTCCTCCTCCTCCTCCCTCTCCTCCTCCTCCTCCTCCTCCTCCTTCTCCTCCTGCTGCTGCTGCTGCTGCTGCTGCTGCTGCTCCTCCGCCTCCTCCTCCTCCTCCTGCTGCTCCTCCTCCTCCTCCTCCTCCTCCTCCTCCCAACGGCAGCCCAGGCGCTGCCGTTCAGACCACGGCAGGCTCAGGGAGGGCTCCGGTGCGTTGGGTCGTTCCGTGGGCGCAGGTCGGGAGGGCCTCGTCGTGGCCGAGGTGCGCCGTGTGCTGCGCTCGCGGCGGTGCAGCGAGAAGCCCTAGTAAGGGCGGGCCACCTTCCCAAGGGCACCCTCGCGTCCTTGGATGTTGTCGGCAGCGCGCCGCCAGAGCAGCTTCGACAGGGGCGTCCGAGAGCCGTCCAGGGGTCTCGCGTCCTTGCCGCACGTCCTTGCCACAGATGTTGATTGTAGCAGGGCGACGCCAGGTGGAGGGACCGTAAGGACGTGCTTGTGTCTTGCCGTGACCTCTGGAAAATGGGTGTCACGGTACTTCGGCGCCCCATCGCGCAGTTTTACCCACCATTCCATTTGTGTGTGTGTGTGTGTGTGTGCGCTCTTGGCACCTGAAGAAGTAGATCGGCAATTCGCAAGGTTTGGATCGTTCTGGTACTTTCTAGGATGTTGGTGTCTATAAGCTGGACTCGGGATTTCGGAGCATGTTGCAGCTGAGCTTGTGCTGGTAGGGTTTGGACCTTCTCTGCAGCTTTTTTGCTTTGGGCTACACGGGATCCGGCTTGCCGACGCCAAGCCCCGAACTTGCCAACGCCAAACCCCGCTGGTTTTGTCTGCCGATTTGGCAGCTGTCTTGAGTCTGGGCAGCGAGCCCATGGGAAGTGAGAAGGAGCAGGCCTCATCAGAAGGCGGCGGGGCTTCTCAGAAGCCCTCTAGCCTTTGAGAAGTTTTTGTTGTGCCCTCGGGGAAGGCTTAGAACACTTCTCAGAAGGCCCGAGGCCTTCCGAGCCTGCTGAGCAGGCCCGCCCCGTCTCACTTCTCGTCCCCCCTGGGCCCGCCGCCGGGACTCGCCAGGAGAGCGGCCATGGCCAAGATCTGCCCCGATAGGCCGCTCGACCTGGACTGTTGCTATCCCCGACCGGCCTCTTACTCCGCATGCTCTGGGCTGCGGAAGCGGCGTGCCCCCTCCAGAGTGTCCGCGGCTCCAAGCATGTGGCCGCTTGTGCAGGATGGCGTCTTCCTCTCCCGCTGTGCCCAACTCGATCCCTCCGTGCCCCCCGACCAAACGAGTGACGGATGGGGTGCTCTTGAATGCCTGCGCCGCGCACAGCGCAGAGGGAACCGAAAGCGTAAGTACGAGACGTGCCCGGGTAGATTCGGAATCTCGCTCGTTCTGGATTGAAATTTGGATCTTGCGGCGGTGGTGGTTTCCGCTGTGGTCGCAACGCCAGCCAAGCTTGTGGGCTTGCCCTGGGATGCCAGGGAGTCGACTGGCCGCGACCAGCCCCGACCAGCCATTTCGCGCGCCTGAGGCTTGCAAACCTTTGCAGCGCTATGTTCGCAGTTGGCGTGTCGATTTGGGGCTCCATAGGCACATCTGAGCGAAAAAGGAAAGAGGGCATTTCTCGCTAAACCATCCTGCGTAGGGGTTTAGCTTCTCGGAGGTCTCCTTGGTCCCTGGAAACCGTCACACACGCGGCTAGATGGAAAGCCCTAGAAGAACAGCAGGTACCAGTTCCATATATCACTCTGCTCCAAAAATTGTACCACCAGCAGACGGCCTCCGTCAAGACTGACCGCTTCAGCAAGGAATTCAACATTGAAGGCGGGACAAAGCAGGGAGACCCATTAAGCTCACTATTCTGCAATTGCGTTTCAGAATATATTATGAGACGTGTGAAGGAAAAATGGACAACCAAGCAGCGCGGGATCCCGCACCTACCAAACAGCGACGGTTTACTGATCAACTTACGATTTGCCGACGACATTCTCCCTATTGCACGATCAAGCAACGACATCACCAGCATGTTGTCCGATAGTATCATCGAAGCGGCAGACGCCGGGCTACTACTGCATCCAGACAAGACCAACACTTTGCATAACGGACACAGACCAACAAGAGCACAACGACCGCCTACCCACGTCTTCGTCCACAACATGAAGATCGAAGTGCTCCCACCTTACCGAGCAACTAAGTATTTGGGGCGCAAGCTCCAATGCAGCGACAACCACAAGACGGAAGTGGAGAACCGGATTGCGTCGGCATGGAGAAAATTTTATTTTCTCAAACAGGGACTTACTGGAACGCACTAGTCACTGAACAACCGTATCCGGCTATTCCACGGAGCAATTACTCCAACGGTGCTATATGGTTGTGAGGCTTGGACGATGACACAGGAGCTCGAGAATAGGATTCGAAGGACGCAGCGACAAATATTCCGGATGATCGTCAAAACGCCTCGACGAAGGCTTACTGGCAACCACGACTTCGAAGACGGCACCGGCGGCAACGACGCCAGCGGCAGGAACGACAAGGACTCCAACGATTCCGGCACCGACGGCGGAGGTGATGTAGACAGTGTGGCACCATCTGTAGAATCAGCAGCAGACGATCTCGAGGACACTGACCCACTCGAACTCTGGCCAGACTGGATCAAACGAGCAACTCGACATGCAGAGAGTGTTATTTCAAAACTACGTATTATAGATTGGACCACGTCTGTCAGACAGCGCAAGTGGGACTGGGTACGCACGGCTGCCACCAGCACTACAAAAGAGTGGGCACGAACGGTTTTGCAATGGGACCCGGGAGGTGATATACACGGACAGGCACATCGACGAGCTGGCCGCCCCAAGGCCAGGTGGTGGGACGATCTATTACGTTACGCGCAGCAGTGCGTGCCGGATGCACCACATACCGTGGCAGACTTGTTACATCTTGCAACCGCGGACATTTGGGACAATATCCAGCCAGGATACGTCACACAATGAATGAGGGAGCCGGCGCGTCGTAATTACTGAATTTTCTTATGTTTCACACGCGTAGTTGTTGTATCTATGATTTAAGATTGCATATCTCCTTTGCCCATCCTCTGTTGATCTCTCTGTCTGTCTCTGTCTTCCTCTCGTTCGCTTGTCCCTTGTCTCACCGTCGTCAATTGTCATGCATGGCGGCGCCCCGGCGCCCGCCTGCAGCGCCCCCGCGGCGCCTCGACTGCAGGCCGATGTCCGATGTCCGATGTCCGAGGTCTCCTTGGAGGCTCCTCGGCCACAGGGAGCTGCCTTGGGCAGCCTTTGAGCCTCTTGAGGCATGCTGGGACCATCTTGTGCTACTGCGAAGGCCTTCCGGCCAGCGCCGACGCCCTGACGGGAGGAGGAGGAGGACGACGACGACGACGACGGCGACGACGCTCTGGAGCCGAAAGCTTCTTCCAGGGAGGGGTGTTCCCCCGATGTGTGTGTGTGTGTGTGTCACAACCCCGGTACCCCCCCCGAACCCCCCCTGGGACCCTGCCCAGGACCCCGCTCCCCAGCGGGCATGGGAGGGGTCAGAGGGAAGGGGCTTCCCTTCGGCTGGATTGCGATGTTGCTCGATGACCCTAAGGCCGGAACGTTTGCGGGAAGGGCCCAGGGAAAAGGGGGGAGCGGCGACCACGACGACGACGACGACTCAAACGGTAAAGCCTTTCGCACACGTTGAGCACCCTCCCACCCACCCTCCCACCATGGAAGTAGCCCCCGAGGCTCAGCATGGGCAGGGGTCGCGAGTGGATGGACAGCCATCAGGAATCAGTCCAGACGCCAGGTGCGCCAGGTGACCCAGGTGACCCAGGGGCCCAAGCAGGCTGGGCTTGCCTGGTGCGCCAGATGCGCCAAGTGCGCCACGTGTGCCACGTGCTCCAGCCGCGCCAGGTGCGCCGCGTCCGCGACGCGCGCAGAATGCGCCAGGCGGCGGGAGGTGCGCCAGTGTACGCGACAGCATGATCGGGCAATACGCCGACACCACCACCACCATCCCCGTGAAAAGCTTGTGCGAGGTGTTCCAGAAAGGGCTTCGCCGGATCCCAGGCGACGGACGGGAAACGCACGCAAAACGGGGGCGGCTCCGCCGAAGGAAGCCGCCGGAAGGCTGCCGGAAGGCGGCGGAAGGAACATATGCGCCCCACGAGATGGCAATATTTTCGGGTTCAGGGTTTGCAGAATCCGCCATGCAAAGGGACGGTGGGTCAGCGTGGTGCTTGGTGCGCCCACCCCCGATCAGTCAGCATGTGCTTTTGATACGGATTTGTGGGCGAGCAAGCTGACGCCCTCGCCATCCCTGTCAAGAGCCAATGCACAGGGATCGCGGCTTTGTCCGCTCATGATCCAGGGTTTGCCGCCACATGCGTCTGGTAAGGCTGTTGGTCATGGGCGGTGAGAGGGGGGGCTGCTCCCAACCATTCCGTTGTGGTGGGTCCTCGGTTAGAGGAGACAGCGCCCCGCGTCCTCCTTCCCTCCTCCTCCTTCTCCTCCTCCTCCTCCTCTTCCTCCTCCTCCTCCTCCTCCCTCCTCCTCCTCCTCCTCCTCCCTTTTCCTCTTCCTCCTCCTCCTCCTCCTCCTCCTCCTCCTTCCTCCTCCTCCTCCCTCCTCCCTCCCTCCTTCCCTCCCTGCCTCTGGCCTCCGCGCGCAGATGCCGGCACTCCGCTCACACCTTTCGTGGCCCCATGGGGAGCTCCACCGAGGGCCTCAGTGGCAGGGTTCGCATGCGGTGCCCACCTCCATGTCGGCACACCTCTCGCACGTCCCGTGGCCCCACAGGGAGAGCTCCACGGAAGGCCCCAGCGGAAGCGTTCGCGTGCGCCGCTCGCCTTGCATTTCGGCGCGCTCCTCCCCTGTCTCGTGGCCCCACAGGGAGCTCCACCGAAGAATCCTGTGGCAGGGTTCGCATGCTGTACCCGCTTCCATTTCGGCACTCTCGTCGCGCTCGCTCCGCGACCTCATGAGGAGCTCCACCGATGGCCCCAGTGGCAGGGTTCGCATGCAGCCGCCTCCATTTCGGCACACTCCTCACTCGCTTCGTTGCCCCTCAGGGGGCTCCACCGAGGGCCAACGGCAGGGTGCGCGTGCTGTGCCCGCCTCCATTTCGGCACACTCCTCGCTCGCTTCGCGGCCCCACGGGCAGCTCCACCGAAGGCCCCCACTGTCAGAGTTCGCATGGTGCCCGCTTCCATTGCGGCGCTCGCCTTGCACGTGTCGCAGCCCAATAGGGAGCTCCACCGAGGGCCTCAGTGTTGCAGGGTTCGCATGCGATGCTTGCATCCATGTCGGCACACCGCTCACACTTCTTGTGGTCCCACACGGAGCTTCACGGAATGGCCCAGTGTCGGAGTTCGCATGCGGTCCCCGCTTCCATCCCGTCACACCCCTCACATTGTTTCATGGCCCCACACAGATTTCCCCTTCCTTCGTTCCACCCTCTCTGCAGCACTCACGCCTGCAGATGGTTGGGCCTTTCGCCTCGATATTTTACCGTGGGCGTCGTGTTCACAGGTGAACCTAGCGCGACCCAGTCATGGGAATGCTTCCGAAGTGGTATTGCTTGACATCGCTCGGCATTGTTCGGCATTGCTTAGGCATTGGTTTTGCCTGGCATTATCTTGGTTTGCATTGCTTGACACTGCTTGGCATGACTTGGCATTGCTTGGCGTTGCTTGGTCTTGCTTGGCGTTGCTTGGCGTTGCTTGGTATGCTTGGCATTTGCTGGCGTTGCGTGACAGTGATTGGTATTGCTTGGCATTGTGTGGCGTTCCTTGGCGTCGTTAGGCGTTACTGGGCATTGCTGAGCGTCGGTTGGCGTTGCTTTGTGCTGCTTTGCGTCGCTTGCCTTGCATTGCTTTGCTTGTCGTTGCTTGGCATTGCTTGGCATTGCTTGGCGTTGCTTGCATCGCTTGGTATTGCTTGCCATTGCTTGGTGTTGCTTGCCATTGCATGGCATTGTTTGGCGATGCTTGAGTTGATCGGCGTTGCTTGACACTTCTTAGCGTTACTTGGCATTGCATGGCGTTGCTAGGTATTGCTAAGTCGCCCAAGGAATACCTCGTCAAGTACAGTAAGTCAATGTAAGTAAACAAGAGCTAGCAACCCGAGGACGGCCTCTTCAAGCACAGTAGCGAAACACGACCAAGCAACCCGAGGATGGCCTCCCCCAAAACGGTGAGGAAACAAGGCCGAGCAACCCCAGGAATGCCAGCTGGCGCATGCCTCGCACCCACGGGTTCTCCAAGCACAAGTGAGACCCCTCCGGCAAGTCTAGGTGGTGAACAGCGGGCAGTGATCACTTCCGACTCGTTAGTCCACCTGAACCCAAAGGGCTGGTGGGATTACGGAGGGCAAGGACAAGGAGAAGGATGCGGAAGAGGAAGGAACCATCACAAGGACAGTGACGTGGACGATGAGGACGAGCAGGAGGAAGATACGAGGATGATGATACGCAAGAGGATGAAAACACACTGGAGTATAATGAAGAAGCTGTGCCGAAGGAGCACAGGTGAAGGGGGAGGGTGAGGAGAGTGAGGAGAAGGTGGAGAGGAAGCAGGAGAGGATGATAATCACATGGAGGAAGAGGAGAACGAGGAGGAAGAGGAGGAGGAGGGAGACGATAAGGATGAAAGCACGGGGCAGCAGGAGGAGGCACAAAGTAGAGGGAGTGGAAGGGGGAGGACGGAGGAGGAGGAGGACCATATCCAAGTTCTAGTCCATGCCGATCGTGATCGATGCAACGTTCCAGCTTTACTACCACTATGGTCCATGCACTGGGTTTTTGCCCCCAACCAAGTCGACTCTGAGCGCGTTCGATGGCTCTGGCGTGCGTCTAAGCACGAAAATGCATTGGCGCTTCACGCCATGCACCCTGGTCGTTTGCGTCTCCACACAGACGGAATGAGAAAGAATGAGATGGTTGTATCCGCTTTTGCTATCCTCGGTCTCTTCCTCTCCCTTCTTCCGCTCCTCCTCTTCCTTCTTTGTCTTCCTCGCTGTCGCCCTTCCGTGTGAACCTTTCCCCGTCCTCATCATTTCTGTTTGTGGAGGCTCCTTCTTCGGGGAGTTCTCGGAGGCCTTTCGACCGCTTCTCGGGAGCTTTGAGGGGACCTCTGAAGGCCGTTTGGGAGCCTTTCTGAAATCCTCTTGTGGCCTTTTGGGATCATCTTGCTGTCCATCGCGTTTTCCCTCAACGACGGGGTCCTGGTTTATAGTGCTTTGGAGGGCGTCTTGGGGCGATCTCTGGGGGGGTTGGGGGGCTTTCCTAGGTTGCTCGGAAGCTCTCCGGGCCTGTCTTGGGGCGATTTTGGAGGCCTCTTCGGCGGTCTCGGACGCCCAGAGGGCCGAAGCAGCCGGTATTCCCAAATCACCCCCCTTGCCCCCCAAATCATGTTTCTTTTCTCAACCCATCGTAATTTGTAGTCCATGTGCCGGCGCGCCACCGCCGAGCCACTTCGTAGGGCCGTCCCGGAGGAACGAACACTTGCAGTATCCAGCGTCCAGTGCCCCCCTCATCCTTTTGCTGTCTCTCACCTGCTGTATTTCTCTTCCCATTTGTCAGGAGGAGAAAACACACCGACACAAAGGATCGTCGACTCTCAGGAAAAATGGGAAAATATGCGAAGTGGGGGGAGACGAAACTCATACGGGAAATGCGTAATACGGGGGATCCTGGGATTTGTGCCTATTGCTTTGTGTGTCCCTGGGCCCCTTGCATTTGAGGCATTCAAGAAGGGGCTTTGCCCTCGTGGCTCGAGGAGCTGTCTGCCTCGGCGGGGCTCGGCGGAAGGCGGGCGGACGGCGGCGGCAGTGCAGCGAGGCCGCCTCCGCTGGAGGCAGCCCCGGCGTAAGCTCGGCGGAGGGCCGCGGAAGCGAAGATCGGCCTCCCAGTAGATGACAAGGTCTTTTGGTTCAGTCACGTGTTCGATCATGGACCTCCGGTGCTTCGCCACCGGGCTCCTGCCGAAGGCGTCCCTTTGCAAGAACTTCGGCTTCGGCACCGCCTGTATCCGAGGCTATGCCTCCTCTCGGCCTCGCTCTTTGGCTCCGCCGCTTCCTCCCTCTTCTTCTCTGCCTAATTCAAGCTTCGCGCGGCCCGCTTAGCTTCGACCAGAAGAGGTGCGCTCTCGACCCGCGGATCAAAAAAGTGTTCGATCATGGACCCCTTCATTTTCCATGTGGCGCGGCGCAAGCAGCCCGAACTGCAGCCGTGGGTGCTCTAGGACTGAGAAAGGAGCCTGGCCACTTCCTTCGATGCTACGTCGAGGGCGATGGCCGCGGCACCAAAAACACGGCACTGTGAGTGAAGAAACGTACCGTCGAGCATGGGCCCCCTTGTTAACCCGAACAATCCTGGTTTAACACCGATGACCGCCGAAAACCGCCGAAGATCGTGTCGGGCCGCCGTCCAGACCGCCGAAGACCGCCGAAAGACCACCGAAGAGCGCCGAAGACCGCCGAAAGACCGCCGAAAGACCGCCGCGACTATGTCGGGCCCCAACGCCCGCGGCGGGGCGCGCGCCCGCTGGCGGTTCTCGGCAGTCTATCGGCGGTCTTCAGAGGCCAAGATGCGTGGCGAGGGGTCCATGTTCGAACGCGTAAGTTCAGAGTTTTTTGAACTCGCTCTGTTCTTTTCCTCTCAGCCACGCGCCGAGGTGGGTATGGGGTTGGGGGGAGGGGGGAGGGGGGAGGGGGGAACGGGGTATGCGGGAGGGGGGAAGGCTTCTTCAGAAGCGCCCCTGTTGTTTCTCGGAATGCCGCGGGGCCGAAGCTTTGGAGGGAGCAGCCTCCTTCTAAGAAAGCCTTTCTCCCCTCCCCCTCCCCCTACCTCCCGCGCCTCTGCACGCCGCCGTTGCCCTCCCTCCCCCCCCGCAGGAGGGCCGTGGCCGAATGCCGAGACCTCCGGGCCGCGCCGGTGCGCGGGCTCCCCGCGGAGCCGCCGGGGCCAGGAGCGGCCCGCGCGTGCCGTTTTTTTTTTTTTGTTCCGGGTCTCGGCGCTGATGACGATGTGGCTGCGGGTGTGGGTGAGGCTTGCGGTGGTGACGGTGGCGATCACGATGTCGACGACGGGGACGACGGCGGCGACGGCGGCGACGACGGCGACGACTATGACGAGGATGACGACGACGACGACGATGACGACGACGACGACGACGAGGACGAGGACGGGGGCGACGACGGACGACGACAACCTTGACGACGACGACGACCGACGACGACACCGACGATGACTGCGATGGAAATGAAGATGAAGATGACTATGCAGATGATGATGATGTTGTTGATGATGATGATTATGATAATGATGGTGGTGGTGGGGAGGAAGTTGATGATGGTGGCGGTGGTGAGGAGGAGGATGAGGAGAAGGATGAGGATGATGGTTGTGGTAGATCTGGTGGTGGTGGTGATGATGATGACGATGATTATGATGATGTTGCTGCTGATGATGATGATGATGATAGTGATGATGATGATGATGATGATGATGATGATGATGACGATGATGATGATGATGATGATGATGATGATGTGGGACCGCTGCGGCCTTCGCTGGGGCCAGGCTGTAAGTATGCGAGGTCGTGTGAAATGAGTCAGGCGGCAGGACCCAGCGATGGATGCGCTCTCTCTCTCTCTCTTTGTTCTCTTTTTTTTTTTGTTCTCTCTCTCTCTCTCTTTTTTAATTTTCTTTCTTTCTCTCTCTCTCTCTACCCCCCTCCGTTCTTATATGTACATCTACATAGATAGATGGGTACACATGGCTTTGTGCTTGATTTGCTTGGCTGTTGTTTATTCTCTCTCTCTCTCTCTCTTGGTCGCGTTTTTTGCTGTTCTGTACCTCTTTTCTCTCTTCTCTCTTATCCCCCAATCAGGATTTGCAGAGGAGTTTCTCACTTGCTTGTGGCAGGGGAAGCTGGCCAGGCGGCGTTCCCCGGGTGCCTTGGCCTTGGTGCCTGGGTTCCTTGGTCTTGGTTCCTCGCTGTCTTTCCCTGGTTCCTTGGTGTTGGTTCCTTGGTTCGTTGGCTCTTTGGTCTTGGCTCCCTGGCTCCTTGGTCTTGATTGCGTGCTGCTTCGCCAGCCAAGCACCGCCAAGCAATGCCACGCAATGCCAAGCAATGCCAATACATTCCACGCAATGCCAAGCAATGCTACGTAATGCCAAGAGATTCCGAGGTCTTGTTCCTTTGCAGCAGTGGCAAAGCCAAGCAATGCACCAAGTAACACCAAGCAATGGCAAGCAACGCTGAGCAAGTGTCTTCTATGTCAAACATTGCTACGCAATGCCAAAACGTAACAGGCAATGTCCAAGCAACGCCAAGCAACGCCAAGCAATGCAAATCGACGCCAAGCAGCAACATGCAAGGTCAGCGATGCCAAGCAACGCCAAGCAGCGCCAAGGAATGCAAAGCAATGCCCAGCAACGGCAAGTAGCAAGCAGCGCCAAGCAATGTCAAGCGACGCCAATCAATGCTTCACAACGCCAGACAACGCCGAGCAATACCAAGCAATGCGCCAATGCAATGCCCAGCTTTCCCCCCATTGGGGTCGTGCTGGGGCCACTTCGCTCCCACGATATACAGATACTATTCCTCTCTCTCTTACTCTCTCTCTCTCTCTTTCACTTTCTCTCCCTAAATAGATTTACAGACTAAGTATTAGATCCCCTCTGTAAATCTCTCTCTGTTTTTTGTTGTTCTCTCTCTCTCTCTCTATCGTTTTTTTTTCTCCCTCATTATGTCTCTCTCTTGTCTCCCTCTCTCTATCTTTATATAATGTGTGTATATATATATGTATATCTTAATCTTTCCTTGTGCCCTCTCTCCCGCACTCTCTTTCTCATTTTATATTGCTCTCTTTCGATATATCTCTTTGTCTCTCACTGCCCCCTCTCTTTTTTTCTGATTGTTGTTGTTGCTCTTCTGCCTTTTTTGTTTTTAGTTGTATGTACCTCCCTCGCTCTCTCTCTGGTATGTATTATCATCTCGCGCATATTGTATAGTATACGTGTTTCTAGACCTGTCACTGTTATATTATACTTCTACCTTTCTCTCTATCTCTCTTGTTATCTTCTTCCTTCATATACCATAAGGTCTTCTCTTATCGTCTCCTCTCTTTTCGCATATTTTCTCATATCCCCTTCTTTTCGCGTGTCGTCTCTTCTCATCTCTTATGCTCGCTGTTTTTTATTACCATCTCTTCGAACATCGTATTGAGAAGGCCTTACGGCTGGTGCCGCCGACCCTGAAGGCGGGACCTCCGCTGCCGACCCCTCCCGGGACTCGCCGGGACCCAGGGGCCCATCCCCCCCGCTGGCAGGGCAGGGATAGAAGGGGAGGGAATCGACTCAACTACGATGTTCCATCCCCGTGTTCATCACTTCCCTTGGGACTGACGACGACGATGACGACGAAGACGACGACTCGAGCGGAGAAACGTCTCACACACGCCGCAGGGTCGGCGGATTGCCTCTCTCTTTGTTTTTCCTCCTCCCTCTCTCTCTCTCTCTTTTTTTTTTTTTTTTCTCTCTCTCTCTCTCTTGATGTGTATACCTACACGCGTGTCCGAGGCCGTTCTGTGGTGGCACGTCGTGCCGTGCCAGGCGCCCGTGCGGTTCCGCCGCCGCAGCGGGGGGCCCCGACGCGTACCCGCCAGGCTGCCCGCACGCCTCTGCACGGCTCGCGGCCCGCGGCCCGCGGGTGCCACGGCACTCGCTGGCGCCGGGCCGGCAGGCGGGACCCGCCGGCCAACCAGGCCAGAAGGCGGGATCCCAGGATCTCGCTGCGCCTGCTTGGAGACGCAGCGCGCACCGTGCTCGAAACGTGCGAATCAGCACGTTGCGCGCTGGCTCAGCGTCGCTCGCGCGTAGCCAATTTGGCAGGCCCGTGGCCCGGACCTCTCCTTCGGCGACAGCGTTTCCGCGTCCGCCCGCGACCAAAAAAGCTGGCTCAGCGTATTGACCCACGTTTCTGGCGGACGCATCGCGTCACACTTGCGTATTCAGTCTGCGTGCTGAGCTCCGAATCAATGCGCTGCGAGCTGCGTGGTGTGTATCGGGGCAGCTAAGATCGATCTTTGGCCCTGGCAAGGGGAGGGGAGGAGGGGACATGTCAGCTATCCCCTCATTACCCCGCCCGCCCCTCTCAATGTTCCGCCTGCCCGACCCGCCATTCAGGGTCCGCCCGCCCGACCCGCCCGTCAGGGTCCGCCCGCTCGACACGCTCGCCCGTTCGGGTCCCGCCCACCAGCCCCCCCCCTCGTTAGCGCCCGCCCGCCTGACCCGCCCTTGAGGGTCCGCCCGTCCGACCTGCCCGCCTGGTATGGTCCCGCCCGCACGCCTGACTCCGCCCGCTCGGGTCTGCCCTCCCGACTCGCCCTGTAATATTCACCCGTCCGATCTGCTCGGCAGGGTCCCGCCTGCCCAACCGTAGGGTCGTCCGCCCAACCTGGCTACAAGGGTCCACCCTCGTCGCGGCGGCTGCGAGCGCGACGGTGACGACGGCCCCTGGCAATGACGACGGCGACGACGGCGACGGCGCCGCCGAAGAGAGGGAGGACCACGGCGACGCTGGCGGCGACAGGCAAGGGCGACGACGGCAGCCACGCCGACGTCGACAAAGGAGGCGGCGACGACAGGCGGCGGGAGGAACATCGCCAACGCAGCCGGCAGCAGGTAGAGCCAAGCGCTGGCGAAACTGACCTGGCTAAATTGACCGCCGGCGAAACCGGTCTCAGCGAATTCGACCCCGGCGAAGACGAACGCGTACGGAACCGACCCACGCACGATGCTCAACGCCAGCGGCATTCGGAGAGTCGGACGCGCGGAACATGGGAGTTTTGGGCCCTTCGCAAGGCCGCAAGTCTGGCCGAAATGGGCACGTGCCTTACAGTCACGACGCCCGCATCCTGAATATGATGGACATCGGGCGACATGTCCGCCGGCACCAATATCAAATAACTTGCCCAGTGTGCATTTCTCTGTTCATCTTGGTGGTACCTGTACGTGTCCCTGTTTTGTGTAATCGATTGAAGTCAGCTCGCTGGCAGCTTGAAAGACGGAGTTGATACAAACATCAGCATGTTCTCGATCATTTGCTGAGCTGAGTAGGCCCTTCAGCGTTCTGCAGATCTTTGCACATGCTGCATTTACACTGGTAGCTCAATGTGATAAGCGCTGGGCGGTGAGCACTAGCTTGGCACCCCATGCCCTGCACAGCTATAGCTTGTCTGAACAGTTGTTTGCTTCTGTTCAGCCCCGACCTGATTAAATCTGTAGGTTTCAAGATCACGCGACGGCAGGTATCATTATATTCCGCGCTGGAGCATATTCTGTCCTCGTCCACGCCCGTATCGGTTGACGACGGGCTTGTTAGATTGTGACGAGCATGGTATGTGCAGTGTGCGGTGTATCCGTCGACTGCACGCCAGGCCTCTGCTGTCCATTATTGGCCGAGCGCAGGCGAGATCCTGCGGTGAACCATTCGAGACTCGATGGCTGCGGAGAGTGTTTTCTCTCGGCGGGTTCTCAGAATGAGTACCAACAGCAAGAGGAGGAACGGAGGAGAAGGATGATGATGGTGATGATGACGATTATGATAGTGGTGGTGATGGTGATGCTGCTGCTGCTGATGATGATGATGATGATGATGAGGGTGATGATGATGGTTGTTGTTGGTGGTGGTGGTGGTGGAATGATGATGGTGGTAATGATGAGTGATGCTGCTGCTGATGATGATGATGATGAGGAGGAGGAGGAGAAGGGTGATGAGGATGATGATGATGGTGATGGTGATGGTGAGGGTCATGGTCATGGTCATGGTCATGGTCATGGTCATGGTCATGGTCATGGCCATGGCCATGGCCATGGCCATGGCCATGGTGATGATACCTATTCTAATGATGATCATGAGTCTGATGATATCGATGATGGTGACGATGAGGATGAGTATGAGGATGGGGGTGAAGATGATGGTGCTGGTGGTGGTGATGCTGATGCTGCTGCTGAGGATGCTGCGGAGGGGTAAGGAGAAAGAGGGGGATGAAGATGAGGAGTAATAGTATAGGGATGAGCGCAAAGAGGACTTCGCGCGGCTTCGATCATCGACTGGCCTCGGGCTGTAGCTCAGAAAGTGCAGAGGAGAGCGATGACGAAGAGGCGGACGTAAGGGGGGGAGGAGGAGGAGGAGGCGGAGGATGATGATGAGGAGGAGGAGGAGGTGCTGGAGGAGGAGGAGGAGGATGATGAGGAGGAGGAGGATGGGATGGAGGAGGAGGAGGTGGAGGAGGAGGAGGAGGAAGAGGAAGAGGGGGAAGAGGAGGAGAAGAAGGAGGAGGAGGAGGAGGAGGAGGAGGAGTCCGACTCGGACACTCATTCCGAATTGTCTGGGCAGGCCGCTGCTGAGCGCGTGCAGTGGCCGTGCTTCTGGCTAAGAGGACTTCCCCCGCTGCGAGGGGCCCATGAGATCTGTGACCCCTGGCCTGATTTCAGCTCCCACTCCGACGGGGTCCTCAAAGATCCATCGAGGTGCCCCCTTCCATGGGCAGCAGTCGCGGGCTCCGATGGGAGTGGAGGGGAAGGCTCCTCTGACTTCAGGTGCAGGTGGAAACGGACAAGGACAACTATGATGATGATGCTGATGATGATGCG